TTTCTTATATCAATTTTTGTGATGTCTTTCTTATAACATTGTGTATTACATACTTTAAATAAAAATTTTCAATTGTTACAGTTATTGACTTTTTGTAACAAAATACATCATACTTATCATAATTTATTCAAAAATATAATCAATTCACAACAAACCTATGTAAAACTAGAAGAGATGCTCTTAGTATACTTATGAATAAGGGGATGACCAATTTCAAAAAATCACATCACATCAGACCACCAAACAAAAATACTTACCTGGTTACATAATTGTACATACCTACCCGGTATAATTTAATTTAAATGTAATAATATACGTTGTAAAATAATGAGATAAATACAAAACAATTTTTGTTAATTTCATGTCTCAAATGCAAATTATAATCTGAATGAGTTCCTTTTTTCTTTTTCTGCAAACAACAACAAATAACAATTTTTCTTGATATCCTAGTTTCGTCATTAAATCTAGCAGCATATTTTTACATTTTTTTGGGGGAGGTAAAATTTTTACATCCCTGGAAGAAGTAATTGGCCACTTTTCTTTTTGAAATTAGGGTGGAAAAGCTTACTTTCTATTAGGATTGAAGGAAAAAATATTTTCTGCTTTCAACTGAGTTTTTCAGGAGACTAATAAATGTCGTTTACTGCAAATTAAAATCTTAAAATCAAGACATTTTGGTCAGGTCAGGTCAGGTTAGGTCAGGCAAAATCAAGACATTTTGGTCTGTGTGTCCTAAAATCGAGACAAATCAAGACATGAACGTGAAACAAGATAAGACAATAAAAACTTATAAACCTGTCCTAGCTACGTCAAGTTAATTCATACTATTTCTAATTGTTTTTTTAGAACCATATTTTAAAATTAAAGAATCAAAGTAAAATAACAAAAAGTTACTTTCTGTGCCCCAAAAATTATTGTCACAGTTTGTAAAAATACTTTTGCTGTAGATAATTTGAATACGTTCAATTACCGAATTGTATTGTTAGCAAAAATAAAAATATCATAGTGTAGAAAAATATTTTGAGGCGAAGTATATTTTTATAGTAGATATAAGTATAAACCCCATTTTTTAGACTGATCAATAAAATGTCATCAAGTTTACTCGTTACCAAACGAATTTATACATCAATGACTGTTGATTATTTTTATTCCTGTCCTGGTACTAGTGGTGTTGAACGGTGGGGGTGTGGAAGGGTAGCTTCACCCTTTTACCGCGATGAGATATCGATTGCATGACGTAACACAGGTAAATGTAGATGTGGAAGTAACGTTAATGTGTCTCCAGGCATTGTCATTCGTTCTTTTTAATTGCCTTACAAAGGGGCGTTTACACCCCTTGTCCCCTTTGGGATATCCCGCAAGATTAAAAATATTCTTAATTTTGACATTTTAAAAAGGCTGCAGGTAGATTTTTGTAGTGTAAAATCGTCCCGGAAATGAAATTTTGCCCCCATTTCCATTCGTCCACCTTTGTAATGACAGTTCGATCCGTCTGCCTTCGAGTGAATGCTTCTGAGGAAGGAAATGATAAATGTGGGTATTTCAAACGACTATGCTTTTATTCCTCACTAGCTATTTCAGTTATTTACGGTTAGCGCCACTTGACTTTATGTCGCACATGCGTTTGAAGTGTAAAATCAACGGATACAAGCTCTCAACTTAATTGGAGGTTTTTTACAATCGGAGCGGCAGATTTTTCTGTTTCACACGATCGGCTTAAAAGCATACATCCGGACAAGAAATTGTTGAAAGGTATTAATATCATATAAATAGAAAGAATTTCATCGATAAAAGAGGTAAGCTGTTCCCAATAAAAAAATAAAGACAACATTCTTGCAATATACGGTTTTCCGTACTGTTACTGATTAACAACGCTAATCAATGAAGCACCACGGAAAAATATTTCTTCTACTCTCACATCTAAAACACGGATTATCGTACCAAGTAACCTTGACAAATACACTGATCACTTTTGACAGCATTTTGACATTTATTGACAATCCACGAACAGCTGGTGTTTTAATTAGTAAATCTTGAGTTTATTTATTTAAATTGATTTTAATGTGCTCGTTAACGGAAACCGAAGGGACTACAATACATACTATTTGATTTAGATATTTAAAATAACCCAAAACATGAGTGTTTGAATGGTATTTGAACGAGTTTTATTGAGCTCCAATTTTGGTTAAATCACTCAAACGTATATGAAAAATACTTTTATTTTCAATTTACTCATAAAAGGTAGTTGCAAATCTATCAGATATAATCAACTCAGATAGAAGCATCTGCAGGCAAAGTCAGTAGAATCTGGAAATTTTATCCAACAATATTCGTTCTTGCTCAAAACCAAAGAAAGGATCAACTTGGGTTTGCTTCCCCCTAGATAGGCCTGCTTGTGACCTTATTCATAGGAGCAAAAATTTCTTTTAAATGATTTGATGAACTGCAGAACTATCGTCACAATAAAGAATTATGCTAATCCTCCAACATACCAACACCAAAACACGTTGTATCACAAACTCCTATCACTGAAGCACAAAACTAAATTTGTGATGGTTAACTATTAGTCCTTAACAAACCTTTGAAATTTACCAAAAGGTAATAAAACAATCTTGTGATCCAGTATAAGTCAAATATCTACGAAATATTTTGGAGGGTTTTCCGATTTTTAGTTAATCAACTAAACCACTGCACCACTAACAATTTTCTTGAGGCAACTGCGTTTCAGTTGGGAACAATAATATGTGAGGCACATTACCCTTGTACAAGGTGCAAGGTATGTTTCATAAACATTTTGTTAATTAAAACTATGGGTGTAGCTAAAATGTTTGTTATTATCAATAACGATCTTTGATTTATTATTATTAATTTTGCGCAACATTCAAAAGTTTTATTTGTAAATTGATAACTGCCACAAACACCATGGACATGATTAACAGATTCTAGCAAGAAGATGCTTTTCTTCTTACAAATCTTTCATATCAGAGGTTCGATCAACGTTTTGAACAAAATTCTTGGACTTGGGTTTGGTGTTCCAACTTTTAATTTGATCGACACTTTTTTATCGGAGGTAATCGGAGTTATTCACTGATGTTTCATCCAAAAACAAGCTTCGGCTGTTGAATGTTCTGAATAAAGCACGCGATTGTACCTTAAAATTTTATTAAACCCCAAAACCATCGTACATAACCTTTGCAATGTGACAGAAAAAAACATCATTGCCACCTTTAAAAAATAAAATCCAAAATCATGGCTACGAGAGTCAACACAACTTTGGTAAAACCGCTAAAAACCCTGTTTATCAGATGCCACTATCAACTGAAATAGATAGTATTTTCGATTAATTGTCTAATAATCGTCCAATGTCAAAGTTGACAGATGCCTGACAGCGATTAGTGAGACCATGGTCATTTGTTACCGTGGATATCATCCATTCAAAATCCCTACTTTTTGGTTTCAGCGTTGTGCAGTCCACAGTTTAAATTAAAATATCTTTGAAACGGTCCATTTTAGGGGTATTAAAGATTATGCGTTTTTTAATCGAAATTGATTACTCTATCGATTTGGGCAATAAAAAATTGGTGTTACGAGAGCAAAAAAATGGAAAAACACAGAAAATGTGACCTGCAACTGCTGGAACCGGAAATTGAGTGGATGTATCCGGTTTTCGTGATTACCAGTTTAAAGGGTATGTTGTCACATGGAAATGTTCCAAATTTTATAATATTTGGTCAAATAGTTCCAAAGTTATTACAAAAAAATCAAATTTCCATACCCACATTCCGAGGGCTGTAAAATTCTTATCAGTAGAGATAGGACACGAGTTATTATTTAAATTAACATCATTTTACAGGTCATTTTTGAGGTTCAAATATTGCTTCATATTTATGAATAACCCTGTATGTTTCCATGATGCTAAGTGACCTTTTATACACACCTTAACAAAGACTTTTATACGTATTAGTCACGTTGCTAATAGGAACTGTCATATTAGTCACGGGCTTAAGTTAGCTTTCTGTAATACGAATGTGCATATAAACTTTTCCAAGATTGGCGTCAAAAAATTAAATAAATTCTTTATCTGAGAATGTGCTGCTTGCATATTTTCAAGATCTTACGAAAAGGATGAAACCGTCTTCTTTGTGGACAGTCTACTCAATGTTGCGGATGACGCTTAACCTAAGAAACAATGTTGACATGAGAAAATATCCCAAATTGTGTGTGTTGCTGAAGGGTAAATCTGATGGTTGTAAACCTAAAAAGTCGAAAAGAGCAAATTAAAGAATTTTTATCGTCTGCTCCTGATAAGGAATACCTATTTACAAAGGTAAACCATAATACCAAATTAAATTAAAATTAAGTACAATTTTTTTTTATTTAAGTATTTTTTTGTGGTGATCGTAGAAAAAGTATAGTATGTAACACGTGTTTAAACTTCTCTAGACATTCGTTTTATTAAACACTCGCTCCGCTGCGCTTCGCTCGTGCCTAATAAAACTCTAAAGTGGCGTTTATAACACTAGTTACATAATATACTATTAATTACGGATCATGTGTGTTGTCACGCCACTGTCTGAAGTTCTGCATGTTGTCAATACTACAAAAAGGAAAAAAAAGTACAACGCTTTCGAAAGGCTACAAAAATTCTGCTGCACTAGTTTCACCATAAACGGTGTTTCGAGCCCAGCACGCCTATGGATAACAGCGAAGGACAGCAGGAGGTTTAGATTAACACAAGCACTTAGCACTAAGAGCATGGGGACGCGACCTCCCCCCACAACACGACACTTCTCAAGGGGAAGATGCAGAAGACGATAAGCATCTCGAGGGAGGTGCCTATTGATTATTGCAATATCAAGAAAATGCATTTTTTAATTTCTCTCACTACTTTATTATAGGAAAGCTACATATAATTATATTTCGCCTAAAATATTGTGTTAATAACCACGATCACAAAATAATCTCAAAAAATTACATCACATCAAAATTAAACAAAGTGAGAGTTTTTAAGTGACATATTATATTAAATCAGTACACTGTTAGACAGGATAGAATAATAACGGTCTCAAAGACCTGATTAGTTTACTTCTAGTGACTAATGGAATTGACAGTAGGTACACTTAAAAATATAAATTGCACGTCAAAATTTAATTAAACGCGATTTTTATTTAGAAGTTTAACCAATCGATGTTGTTGTCCTGTTGCTGACTTCCGAAAGTCTTCCAAAATCTGAAACTACAAGTTTACAAATATCAAAACAAAAACTTTACTCACATCGTAGGAAAGTTCTTGTCTCAGAATTGCTGCGGTGTGCTCATTTCTAACGCAGCAAGCCAGCAAAGTTGGATAAAGCACGTTCGAAAGCGTTTCCACTGAGAAATAGGGAAAAGGCAACGAACAGAGCTGTTGGAGAACTGAAGGAGGCTGGCCACTCACTAACAACATCTGAAATAAACATTTCAGGCGTTTATCCAACAAAAAGTCCAAAAATAAAGCTTATTAATGTAATTGAAAAAGGGCCAGGAAGACAATACATTTCAAGAAGCAAAGCCAATATTGACACGAAGACTTCTTCAAGGCAATTTAAATCAGAATGGAAGTATTCGTAACTTTATAATTACCAAACACTCAATTAGTGTGCAAGAAATTCAAATTTGAAGTGGGAACAGAACTGGAAACGGGGCAAAGGAACTGAAAGTAAAGTAAATTTAAATGGAGATGCACTGACAAATTAAAGGATTATGAGATAATCTAAAATGTACTTTATTAAAACTTTAGTTGAATGAACAAATCTGAAAGGTCCCAATAGATCCTTGAGGGCAGTTAGTATTTTTTGTACCGCCTAAAATGTGATTATTCTGCGAAAATTTATGTAAGATTGGTATTTTTTCTTTTGAGAAAAATTAGTAATTAACTATTTTAGATATTATACAGGGTGATAGAATATTTAATTTAAGACAAAAATGAACATGTATTAAAAAACGTTATGAAAGCGAGCTACATCCCCTCCTGAAAAAGATGCGTTTTTAATGGGGTTTTTCCACTATTGCAGAATAGATAAAATTACGAAAATCGGTACAGCTGATAACCTTTAAACACCTGAACGAATTCAAAGATCAGTTGTCGAAATTTTTAATCACAAGCGTCTTAAACGGTAAAACAAATTTGATTTTTAATTTTTATTCTCATCTTTATGGTCTGTAGAGACAAATTTTACACAAAAACGATAAGTTGTATCGAAAAAATGCATGAGACCTCTTTTTTGTAAAAAAACTATGGAATTTAGAATTGTGTAGCTGAAAGTGGCAAGAACCAACAGCCAAAATAGTTAGGGTACTTTTTTTATCACCTGGCTAAATTTGTAACAACAAAAAACGGAACACCCTGTATATCTTAATATTAATTCAATCACACGAGAAAATTATAGCGTTATTGTTACTTCGTCAAAATTTGTTTGTAAATTGCCCTGTGCCATTTTTGCTTTGGTTGTTTTAGTTGTTTCGCGTCGCCTGTTAATTTCCATATAAATTAAAAAATTAATTTAACATTCCTGTCGAAGCTATCGGCTTTAAAACGTTCATAATATCGTAAAATATAATGCATAACAACAAAATGTGAGGATCGCGTGCCGTAATTTAATCCAAGGTAGACACGAGAAAGAAGACCCCACACCCCACCATAAGACATCATTGTCCACTGCTGGTGTTCGGTAGGAGTTATTTCGATTAGTGGGTCTTGAGCAACGCGACATTGAGGGGTGTGGTATTGTTCCAACCGCCTCAGAAACGGTCGACGTGATAACGAAACCTAAGAAAGAACAAGAGAAACAACATCAATCTGGCTGGTGGTGTTTTTCGCGGCAGCTTCGATGGCGCCCGCGCTATCTTAATGACGGCGGCCGGCGAGACCAAACGGCCGCAGGAATGCAGAGATGCTTTCTGGCCCACAGAAAAAAAACTAAGACGGGAAGTTAAAGAAATATGAGATGAAAATTATGAAATAATGCAGGGATATTTGTCACAGTTTTGAAATAATAAATAATAAGAGAGTTTTTGTAAATCGTTTAGTTTAACGTTAACCTTAACGACAACGTCATTTAATTGTCGTGTGTACGTCTTTCAAGGGTAAAAGGCGTATTTCGTCAATTCAAAGACGTTTACGTAAACGTCTTATTTTTTGATTTCTTAGCAAGGGCCATTTGTCGTAAAACGTAAACTTTTTTACGGTTTGCAAAAACTCTCTTGATATAACAATAATATAACAATCCAAAAAAAAAAAGACAAAATTGCCAAAATACTCTAGTTTTGTGTGGTATGAATACAGTTTTAGAAGCGTTTTCGTCTATAAAATTATTTTTTCAAAATTTTAGTACTTTTAAAAACTGATTCACGTTTTAAAATGTGGAACTTTTTGTAATTAGTAATTAGTCAAAAGTAAAAATATACATACTAATTTGAAATATTCTTTTAATCCAGCTTTTTAGAAAATATGTTATGAGTTCTAAAAAGTGAAAAGTACTTTGTACGAACTGTGTACGAACACTATAAAGAGTATTTCAGAAAAAAACATTACAAGTTACTTACTTTACCTTGTGTGTTTTAAATGTTTAAAATTTATTTTTTATCTTAAATAAATAAATACATATACCTATTACTACACTTACCTTCAGAACAAAATTCTATAACAATAAAAGAAAACTCTGTTTCGTAGATCTTTAAATGCGGTAATCTAATTTTTTGTGTTCATCAACTATGACTTAGTTTAAATCGGAATTTTGATTTTTACCTGTATCTGGCTCAACTTACTTATTTTTAAGAATATTATTAATAGAAACGTACAAACGTTTTAAATAAATAGTAATTATAATTCTAGTAGTAGTTAGCTTGTACGAGTAGTTTACAATAATAGGTACACTTTAATACATCCGAATATGTGAATAAAGTTGTTTGCCTAGAAATTAATAAAAATAGACAATTTTTCGTCACCCTCACCGGCATAGGAAACACGTGTCCATTCCGTGTGACCGGATGTGGCATTAAATGGCTCGCGGAAAAGCTAACAGGTAAGTCTCTGGCACGCAAACGGTTATCGTCAGTGATGATATCGGAGTATTACATAGGTGAATGAGTTATTTACAGGTAAGTGTGTATTTATTTCCATGCTAATCACAGTTACAATAGTAAAAGTCGTGACTAGTCATATTATGACGGAACAAAACCCACATATCAAAATCAAAAGAAAAAATAATATTTTTTTGACACGATTTGAGAATATCAAGAGTTAAAATCAATAAAATAAAATTAGTAGGAAGGTATATACAGTGTTTAAGGTCTTGGAGTTGAAAGTTGATCTGGTATAATAGAAGAATGAGGAAATAAAATAAAACTAGCAACAAATACGAAAAATTGTATCCACGACAATAAAAAAAACACTTCATAGTTTTGACACTGTTATCATTTGCTTTGATGTTGCCTTAGTTTTTATCAAAATTCGAAGATCTTTTATTTAATCACTTCCAACGATAACGTTTCAACAAGTTTGATTGTTTTTCTTTTTTTTTTGTCAAATTTATAGACATAGATCGTAAATTTTAAAATAATAAATTGCTAGTCGTGATTATGATTTGCTGTGAAACACAAGTTAATGATACTAATGGCCAGGCACCGAACTAGAACTAAATTTTTGAGGAAGTCTAAGTAGAATATTATGAATATAACAGACATTTAAACAAAATTATAGTTTTAAAAGTGATCTAAAAAAAAAAAATTGCATTTTGGTGGTTAATATTTATTTTGCTCTGAGGTACAGATATGTTATAATAAAACCGGATAACAATAGACACCATGTTTTAAAAACCAGCAAAAAAACTTAATGTTAGTGAAAAGTGGTTCAGAAAATACTACTTCTGTAAAAAAAACTATGTTAAAGTAGTATAAACAGTAATAAATTTTATTCCTCTATGTTAAAATTGAATTTTATCTACTCTTTTCTTCATGTTAAAATGAAATTTTAGCGTCTAGATGATAAAAAATACATCATCCATTGTTGTATATCTGCGGTTGTTAGTTGCTAACGATCTTTGACATTAGATTTCATTGTTGAATTTTACATTGGCATTTATAAATATCGACCAAATTGACTACAAAATTAGTGAGGATTGAATAAAATTTTATATTGTAGACGACGATAAAATTTTCATTATCTTTTCGAGCATATTAGCTCGAATTAGTAATTGCTCTCAAAGATAAAATTCAATTTTATCGTCTTGTATAATAAATAACAATTTTTTAGAATATCCTATTTTGAAGCAGGTGGACCAAAGGGTGGGCCAGCACAATTTTTGGTGGCCCATGGCCCACCCAGGCCCCCCTGTAGTTACGTGCCTGCTAATGGCCATTGTTGCAACCGAAACACCAATTCTCAAACAAATAATATAAAGTGAATTATTTCCTTTCATAATGTAAATTTTTATTTATATATGGCGTATTAGGTTTCTTCTACTGTGCATATCGTTTTCTTTAAATTTCAACCTCAAGACCGAACACACTGTGTATAAAATCATAAAATCACACATTTATGACGTCAATATCCTTGACTTAGATAGTTCCTCCTTGCTTCCTTCCATTACCGACTTACCCCACTTCCTCCACAAACCTCCCTTTCGTCTTTCCTCTTATTACACGCAATGAAAAAAGTGTTCACACTTTCTAATAAACCTCGATTGAGGTCAGGATTGATTTATAGATTTTTAACGCCTTTATCAAAACCACTGACCTGATTCTCATTATTTTCCACAGCAAAGTATCCAGTGACGGCTATCACTTCGTGAAGTAGCTCTTGATGAATCTCACTGTTGCCATCCTTGCTTCTTGGAGACGTTGTCGGAAGTGCACAACACCAAATTAAGTGACTTGCAATATGACGAAACTGCAATGAAATACCCTCGGCTCCAAGTACTTCCTGAAAAAAAAAAAACACGCATAGAAAAATCAATCCATCATTTTAGATCAGTAAAATTGAATTGTGGTTATTGTGTGTCTTAGTTTAACCCAACAGTCGGTTTGTTAGTTACGGGACCGTCTCTGGAGATTCGGCAGTGCTTTGCGGGGCACACGCTCGTTCCCATGAGAGTTAATCAAGAGCGGTGGGATTGCCAATGAACACATATCAATCTCACGCGAGTATGTTAGGTCATCTGTGCAAACTATGCGAACTAGGGTGCACGATGTAAATACACTTCGTTAAAAATTAAGGAAAATTTTATCATACAAAAAATTAAACAATTACCATATTGAGGGTTTAGAAACCATAAACAAATTTTACAACACTTCAAAATCAAACACAAATTGTTTAATTGTTAATTGTATATTCTGTATAATTTATAAATACAGGGTGTTTCACATAATTTTACGAGACCTGCGCCTGTAAGATGCAATCAATAATACCTATTCCGATACGAACTCGATTACAAATTTTCAAAAATTGGATAATCTTTTCTAGTTTGTTCACCCTTTCAAAAATTACAACATTTTTAGTTAGTTAGTGATTAAGATAGATAAACTAGAATCATATTCATGTCGTCTCTTGATCGAACTAACAAATGATAATTGTTTCTGAAAAACTGCAGTCTATGACCATTAAAATGATTAGTCTGACAACTACTGTCATGGGTTTCCAAAATTTAAATAATTAAATGTGTATTTTTGGTATCTAGTGTTTTGCGAATTTTATATATTTGGGTGCGTACATTGGGCGCAAGCCTCGTAAAGTTATGTAAAACACCCTGTATAAGAAATCTGATTTTTTCGAAAAAAACAAATTTAGCTATTTTTAAAAATAACACAATTGTTTTGCTGTGTCAAAAGATATGCCCGGTTGCACAAAACTCCCATCAATCGATCATTAGATAATGGTTCATCAAAATTTGATGGTTTGTTAACTTTGATTGCGTTGCACAAAACAATTTGCACATGGTATAATGATTCATCATATGATGATCGTTTAATTACACATCCGATATGACAACAACGCCGTATTTCTTTAATTTGACATTTTGACAATTTTTGTGTCATTGTCTTTGTGTCTTGTGTTCTGGTGGTAGTGTCTTGTGTTCTGGTTCTAAGTTCGAAACAGGATGTCGTCGAAACGGGTAAATTATACCCACAATGAAAAGAATATATTCCTTTCGGTGGTAGCGAAGTAAGTTTTTATCAAATTTGTTCTAGAGAAACCAACACCAAGAATACACCAAGAGACTTCAACATTTTACTATTCCAATTAATTTTATTCACTTTGTACTCGTTACCCCAGTTTTTTCCCATTTTCCACTAAAATAAGCTCAATATTTTCGACATTTCAACTCCTTAATCCTTGTCTCATCCTTTAGATATAAAGAAGTTATTGAAGATAAATGCACCAAGGCGTGGGCGGTGCAGAAAAAGGCAGTTGCGTGGGAAGCAATTGTAGAAGAATTTAATTGCTTGGCTGAATCAGGTACTAGGTCGGTCAAGCAATTAAAAATCTTTTACGAAAAACACATGCTACATTTGACAAATATATATTTAAGCAAGAACAATATGAAGCCAGAGTAAAGGAGGGCGAAGCGAGGAAGGCCGCTGCTCACGACAAGGTAATTACATGACACAAATTTACATTACACCACAGTCTTTTTTTTGTAACAAATTATATTTATAAAAATTATAAAAAAAATAATAATAATTAAAAGAAAGAAATAATGAAGACTGGCGGAGGCAGTTCCACCTTGGAAATGACCTCCGAACAAGAAATACTCCTGGCCACAATACGGGAACAAGTGGAGCCCTTAGATAATGCTTATGACAGTGCGGCTGAATATTTCAGTAATATACACGCTTAAATATTAATAAAACAAAAATAATTTGTGATTTTTTTGTCTTAATAGATGATATCGAAATATTTGAGAAGCCGCAAACTCCAATTCCCGAACTTGCWCTCTCTGGACGTTCCACTGACCTTGCCCGCTATGAACCTTCCTCCAACTTTCCCTGCTCTGCAAACCCAGAACCTTGTCCTAAACCTGTTCCTACCCTGCCAAGACGTAAAATTTTGAAACCCCGAAAAAAACAAAAATTAAATTATAAAGATCTATATTATCAGGAAAAAATTAAAACCGAAAAAAAGAAACAAATTTTATTAAATTATGAAATACAGAAAGTTAAATTAGAAATTAAAAAAATGCAAAAATAAATATGTGTTTTTTTATCTGGCGAAAATAGTTTCGACCAGAGAATTCCTTACTGCAAAGTTAACATTATTTATGTTATGTTCTTGATAAATAACATTTTCCTCCTCATCATGTTCTATAATCTCATCAAAATATTCTTCTATATCATCATCTTGCTGTTTGCAGATGTTGTGTAGAACTCCACAGGCAACAATTACTTCAACTATAGTATTAATTTTTAATCGAAGCCCATATTTCAATGATGGAAAACGACGTTTCAAAACTCCAAAAAATCTTTCTATGCAGTTCCTAGTAGAGATATGAGCTCGATTATAAGCCTCTTGGCTTGCGTTAGCTGGATTACGAAATGGAGTGAGGAGGTATTGTTGGCAAGGATATCCACCGTCACCAAATAGATACCCATTACCATATCTCCCCATTCGAAAGTCGACAGGAAGAGGCGAATTATTAAAAATCGTACTGTCGTGTACCGATCCCGGCCATCGAGAAACGATGTGTAATAATTTCAAATTGGCGTCGCAAACGGCCTGGACGTTAATACTAAAGTACCCTTTTCGATTTCGGTACAGTTCTGCATTTGCACCACCAGGCGATTGGATGCCAACATGGGTACAATCCACAGTACCCACAACACGAGGAAAACCAGCAATTTGAAAAAAATTTCTTTTGGTTGCTACCAACTCCTCAACGGTCCTCGGCATMTTAATATRTTCTTGAGAGAGTCGAGCAATTTCGCGTGTGACTTTTTGGATAATTCTGCAGATGCTGGATTTGTGGACGTGCATCCAATCGCCGACGAGTTCCAAAAAGCCACCCGTTGCATAAAATCGGAGGGCAATTAAAAATTGGGTTTGTGCACTCAAGGATTTGTTCCGCTGCGTCTTAGGTGCGACTCTATCTCCAATTGTGTGTACTAGATAAGTAACAGTAGCTTTATTTAAGCGAAACCTTTTTTTAAAGTCATATTCATCCAACATCTCAAATGGATTTTCACGGTCCCGGATGAAACGAATTCTCCGTACAGGCCTTTCAGGTTCTTCGTAATCACTCTCGCTTGATGAAGATGAGGATGTGTCCCACAACATTTTTCAAATAATAAAGTCAGTTCAATGTTTTCTACAACTTTTTAATCCTTATTACTGTTTCATCCTTTAGATATTTAATAACAACTCACTAAAAACGCCTTCAAACGTCAAGAAAAAATTTGACATATGATTTAATCACCGATTAATCGCCCGCGGTTCAGTCATTAAGCTGATGATTCGTTAATGAATAGTTAACAGTGACATTTTTGTTTGTGCAACGGAAAACAGTGGTGATGGACCATTAACGGACCATTATCGTTGATAATCATCAAATTTTTGATGAAACGTTAATCAACCGTTAACGGTGTTTTGATTTCAACAAAATTTTTGATGAATGTTTAAAGCTTTGTTAACTATCCGTTATCTTTTGTGCAACCGGGCACTAGTTTAACTTACATTATTTCAGACTTTTCTTTGCATCAAGTGAGAAATGGAGACATGAGGAAAAAGGCAACGCTGCTATAAAGACTTGTACTTTTGTACTTTTACTTGTACTACTACGCTTTCTTAAAATGTTTACTGTTTTCAAAATGTGTCGACAGGTATTTCTGCTATATATTTTAAGTGATAACATTAAAACACAAATATGTATGTAAAAATTGCATTTCGTGTCATTTTTTACACCTTTTATTGTTTTTGTTAAAAGACCGAACGTAATAGAAAAAAAATGTATGTAGGTACGCCATAGCACTAAAAATTGCATAAAAATCGGTGAATAAAACTAAAATAATTTTCAAAAAATAGTTTTTCACAAGCCTGTGTTATTATTTATAAGTGCATTAGGAGAATGTTTCGTCCGAAATTGAGTTTTTAGGTGAATATTTAAGTCGTACTTAGTATAAATTAGAAATTATCCCGGTTTCAGTTTTGCTGAAATCAAAGTTTTGCCGTTTGCGGGTCTGAAAGTAACCTCGTTTAGCCTAAAACCAAAGTTGTAACCTCGTTATCGAAACACAACGAAGAGTTGAACAATTTTAATAATAATCTCTTCTAAAACCGAGCACGTTATGAAAATTACATCACTGTTGACACAACAAAAGAAACAAGACGGGTTTAATTAGAGAATACACGGCCAAATAAACACGGAAGCATCAGTGCTTTCCCGTCTCTTGTCTCGACCCCAGAGACCTCCCACGAAATTAACTTCAAACCGGGTACAAAGCTAATTTTCAATTGGAAGCAAACTGATTCAATTAAAACACGCGCGGCTGCGGCGTATCATCTATTGCAAACATGGTTAGAGACCGATCTGCAAACAGAAAGACGACAGGGCAAATTTTGTGTTAACGAATTGATTACGTTTTCCGAGTAGGTACTGACCTGAAATTTAATTAAGTCTAATTCGGCAATTCTGCGAAGAAGTCGAAAAGTAGCGGTGGCCAAATGGAGACAAGGATCCGGTATCATCGGAGGAGACTGCCCTTCGACACGTGGGGAGGAGTCCGGAGGCAGTAACGTGCCATACAGCATGGAAACGGCCCCCAATAACTCAGTACCGTGCAAAGTACTCACCTGAAATTAAAAAAATAGTACCTCTACATCATTTTTTCAAGAAAAAAATAGTTTAAACAAAAACCCGCTACCGCTTATAAATTGTATTTTCTCATAGTTTTTCACAAATATAAAAAAGTACAAGTACAAGTAAAAGTAGTCATAGAAAAAATATATAGGGTGTCCCAGCGAGTTGAAAAAGTCAATTAGTGACATTTAAATGGTAAAATTTAAAAAATTTATAGGACATTAATTGCTACTAATCTAGTGCATCACCTACAATTATTTTCAACCATACAGCATATTCAAAAAATAAGTTACTATAGAAACTTTTGTTTTTTTAAATGAAACACCTATGATTCTTTGCATTTTTGGATGTAGCCTTTTAAAACACTGTTTTTACGCTAAACTTTTATTAGCCGATTTCGCCTAGTTTTAGAAATAAGACGTTTGTGACAAAAACATGCAGTTTTTAAAAATATATTACACAAAAACAACAGCTTCAACAACAGTACAGAATTTATAACTGTAGAAATGTTTTAGTGTTTAGCATTTGTAAAGATTATTAATAAATTGAGAAGTTTATTAAAAGTTAAATAACTTAAAAAAATTAAAAGGAACTCCGTATTTTTTATTTTTGCATCTAATAGATTGATAAATTGTCTATCTAAAAAAATAATCTTTTAATGTCTAGAATTGACAAATTAAAAGATATTTAACATTGAATATTAATTATAGCAACAATGCCTATCAATATCTGAGCAGTGTTGATACTATGGCAACCATAGTAATTACACCACGGATCACTTATTATCCGTTGATTTATCCAGAGATTGTAAAAGTCGTTATAAATATTGAAATTCAAATTATTTTATTGTAAAAGTAAAAAACTATGGATTTAGTTTAACATAAATGTGATTATGAAGTAATATTTCTTCCCATCTCTTGTGCAACTGTGCACTTTTTGGCTACTGAAACAATAGTAATTATTTTTCTTAATGTTTAACTTTATTATCTTTTTAGTTATTGGTTATAAACACCTAAAAGTAAATAATTTTAGAAAGACAATTTAATAATATTTTAAATGCAAAAACAATAATTAGGGTGTTCCATTTAAATTTATTTATTGAACATTTAACAAACGCCTTC